AGATACACCTGATAACAGGGGGCAGAAGACTACACAAAAAATAATCTGGATTTATCGCATAGTAATAAATGATTAATATAAAAAATGGATTTCTGTTTTTTCTTTTTACATATTTTGTTAAAAGGCCAAATGAAGACTTCAAACCAAAAAAAATGTCATTTTCTGTTTTGTTTTATTCTTGGATCAGGCTTTAAAGGGTTAAATCCTGTGAACGGTTTAAACCTGCAGGTTTCAGAGGTTTCCTGCTTCTACACACCCGGTTCAGATAAAATGTTATAAATGTTATAAAGATATAAAGATTGTTAAACTCTACACAGGATGCTGATGTTGTGTTGTTGGGAATCAGGTGTGTTTAAGCAGAGTTGCTTTATTGCCATTAATTCACCTGTGCTGACTTCAGCAGAACTAAATTAATGGACTCTACTCAGTGCCTAGGTTCATCCAAACACACTTTAACATCTGCATCCACAATCCTTTGGTCATGTTTTATTATCCATGAATACATTAATGCTCTTTATGGATTCAGGAATAACTCTGGGGAGTAGTTGGATATCAGTTGGAGTTTAAATAAGCTGAGTTAATATTCAGGTATCAGATTTAAGTCTTGCTGCAGTTTTTTCTTATGATCTGAATCCTCTGATGCGTCATTAATTTAGTTTTGTCATTAAAGATGGTAGAGGCTCTCTGTGGATGAGCACCAGGCACACACTGAAGCACATTATGTGCTTTTATACTGAGCTTTTTTTTGTAGCTACAGTGTTTTGCTGAGTCTGAGAACAAAATGCCACAATGATGCGTACAAAAGCGGCGGGGTACCGGAATAAAGAAGCAACTCCCAGTCCCACTCTGTATCAAACACAAGTCGCTCTGTTCGAGAGCAGCCACTTTACTCTCCGGTCCAAAGAAAGAAAGCAAAATACGAGTGTAATTTAAAATAAACTTTGCGATTTTATTGTTTTATACTTACTCTTACACGTCATACAACCCTAACTTTGAAAAGAAAAAACTAAATGAAAAGATCTTGGTGGTGTTTCTGGGGGACTGGAGTGCCGAGGGGACAGGAGCTACATCTCTGAACAGAGTAGGTTTCACCCGGTGTCCCTACAGCTCGTATCGAGACACAAAAACAAACAAAGCTCTCCTTTGCTTCTGCAGTGAGACTGAAAATAAAAAACCACAGACTTGTAACGATCAGCTTTATCACTGCGACCAAAACTCTGGCTGAATGATAAAAGACATGATGAAGGGTTGCTGTGCTAAAGA